CCATGCAAAAAATTGTTTTGAATATGAACTGAATTAAATCAGACTTATTTTGAAATATCCGGTTACCAAAACAGGATGTCTCGCCACAGTTTGTGAAATTGACATTGATGTTGCGTGGCTGCACGATATATTTATTCTGAAGCTAAATTAAAGCAGTAGGCTAACTTGCTAATGGTGAGCAGGTGAATTTGCAAATAAACAGGCAGGCACAACAGTGTTAAATGACTTTTGCGAGGGAACGCAAAAGGTATAGCGAGGTAACACAATACTTTTGTGTGAGAACGCAAGAAGAAAAAAAATCCCCCATGTCCTCTCATGGGCTCCGTAGTCACATTTGTGTTTATTGGGAAATAAACTACTGAGGTTTTTGCCCCACAAAATTAAAATAATTATATTTCTGTGTCCATCCCATTTATACAGTGCATCAAAGTAATTATTTCAAACTAGACATTTTAACAATTTTAGGGGGAAAAAAAGAAAATATGTCCCGACTAGTTTTCAGCGTACTCCTGATTCTGTTCTCTAATCACTCGTTTAGTAAAGTTTATAAAAGAAAAAACTCAGCCCATGCTCACCTTTACATTATTTATCTACCTTGTTTCCATCTCGTTCAGCCAGTTTAATCCAGAATTAGAGATCTGATCGTTCCCTTTTAATCCAGTCATCAGCTCTCACATGAGGACTGGACATGAGGGTGAATCTGTTCTGTCAGGTAATCTCACATTTTCCCTTGTAACTGKATCAATACGTCCAGATTACTAAGTGATGGTTTAGAATCATTACTTAGTAATCTGAAAATAAAAACTGACAGTTTTTGGCTCTCGCCGTGGAACGGGAATAGGTTTTTGCACATGTGCGTGTGTGCAGTGTTTGTAAAATTTCTCATAAAACACTTGATGAACGATTAAAATAATTCTTTTATGTAAGCTATAACTACATCTGTTCTGAGGAAGCTGACCTGAGTGCTCAGTCTTGAGAGGAAGCAGGTGATAAMTGTTCCTTCAAGGAAATCCAGGACTCCTTTTTTAGGTAAACTTTTTTAAAAAATGGTATTTTGAACAAAATTTGAATCAAATATTCCCATGTTGACAAGTTAAATATGTTCAGCATTGAAACAATCTTGGCAAGTATGAAAACTTGGAAGATTTGTTTTTGCAGCTTTTTTATTCTTAGTTCTTCACTCAGAAATTACTTAACTTCAGCACAAAACCGGCTGGAGAAAATTACATTATTGTGTTTAAGATGATAAATCAGACTTTGGATTTGAAGCTTTTTCTTTTTAAGTCTTGGCTTAACAAGGATTAGACCTTTTATATTTCTTTCTTCCTTTGCTWTTTAATATTTCCTGTGCTGCAGGTCTGAATGAAAACATGATCTTTGTCAATAACTGTGGGAGCAGAGGAGCCATCTGCAGCCAGTTTAGTTTCTAAACAGCTGCACACCTTTTGGACGGCATGCTCTTGTATTTTCAAGTTGAGTTTCTCTGTTTATTCATGTCTTACTCTTTAAAAGACAGACACACAGCAGGCTGCACGTGCTGTCTTTCCAAAACAGCTGCAGATCAGTTTGCACAAATGCATAAAACGCAGCAGCTGATCCGACACCGTGTGCAGCTGTGAAGTCATTACAACATGCCTGAAAAGAAAGAATAAGTTCACAGCAAAAAGCCCTGCACTGGCTTCACAAACAAGAACCAATCAGAGAAACACAAACAGATCATCACTGCGATGACATCATACAACAGGGAAACATTAAATATACATGACCTACCCATTTTGTTGTTGTTTTTCTGTCCCGTTGTAAGTTTCCCTGGCTGAGATGCTGCCCACAGGTTGTTGCTCGGCTCGTAAACAACTGGACCCGTCCTGTTTTAGAACCATGGAGGGGGAGGATGGGGGGTGGGGTCACAGCTGTGACTCCATTAATCCAAACACAGCAGACAAGTGTCCTCATCGGATCTACTACATGCTTCATCAAACACAGGGAAAAATCCACTTACGGTTCCTTATAGACTTAATTCCTTCATGCATTCAGTCCCTGCAGCCCACACCCYTTTTATCCTTACAATAAAAACATGTTATAATACACTGTTATAGCCTATAGCCTCATTTTAAAGAATAAAGTTGGAAAAATATCCATCCCCCAGTATTGTGCACAACACAGATTTCTGTACATTTTCTACACATTTTGTGCTCATTAACTGTTCAGAGGTAAAAAACATCCAGCTCATTTGTATTTTTTAAAAATATTTCGATTTAACAATTTGATACTGGCGTCTGTCTCTTTAAGAACTTCCTACCATTTCAGACACTCCCACTTCAGCATGTCTTCACAACCATGCTTTGGAGGAGGGGTGCTCAGCTGCGAGCTCCAGGGAGGGGCTTTGGATAAGTAGGCGGGGCTTTGTACCAGCAAGCATTTATGCAGCTCCACATGACCACAGGAGATTCAAGAATTTCTTATATGTGCATGAATGAGTCAAAGCTACACTCTGGGTGTATTTTTTGATGAGGGAATGACAGCATAACATAAAGCTAAAAAAGGTCAGTCTTTAATAATGACCTCCCACATCACCCCAAACAACTTTATTTCAGCTTGTTCAACAAATTTCATCAGTCATTCATTGCTCAGCATTCAAATCTACATAGCTTCTTTATACAGCAGGTAAAATAAGTATTGAACATGTCACCATTTTTCTCAGTAAATATATTACTAGAGGTGCTAATGAC